CATTAATTTTGTTTTTAAATAATGTTTTTTATTATTGACACCTGCATAATGTGTTTTTTTTATAGAATAGGAGGAAAACGAGCAGACGGATCAACTAATGGTAAGCGATCAGCGCCGACAATAGACACCCGCAACACCAGAGGAGTCACAGATGCGTTGCCGGCCTTTTATAAAGGCCGGCCGTTTATTATCTTATACTATTATTATATAAAGCGGAAGAGTTTGTTTTTCTGTTTGTTTGTTTGCACGCGCTAATCTCCGTAACTACCAGCCTGATTTGAATAATTATTTTAAAATATCACGCTATGACCAATAGGAGCTGAGGAGAGCGTGTGAAACCGCACAGAAGTAGCTAGAGTTACTTATATTTATCATGTTTTTTTATTGAACCTAATAGTTTTTTTTTATAATAGGTACACTGAATATGCATGCTTGGTGCGGTGCCTAGGCAACCGGCAAATTGTTGTTTCGGGTCTGGGTGTCATGTGTATGTGAAATTGGATGTTTGTAAACGTAGAGACAATCCTACTATGGGGACGTTTAAACAAATGTGTTAGTTATTATTTTTAATATATAGTTATATATTAAAAATAACATTAATTTGTGTCTGGACAATATTTTGCATTCCACGTTTTTGATCCTATGCAAAAGTAGGCCTAATTAAATGGTTTTTATTAGACCAGCCATTTTGTAACACGACAAGGATATAGAGGCAGTAATTTTCAAACAGGTAGAAAGTATTTGGCAACGAATCGAGAACACTGAACAGCCCACGTGACGAAACTTTAGAGGTCCTAAAATGTGGGCGTTTAACTAAAAATATCTAATTGCTTACTGAAGTGGGGACTTGAGTACTTTGATCTACAAATATAGTTCTTTTCTTTACCTTCTTTTTTGATTTCCTTTTTTTAAGTACCTAAGTACTGAGTTCTAAGAGGGTTTGACTTGGATTACGGATGGAGGACTAAAATAACTCCTTGTAGGTATACGGATTACCTAAATGTTCTTGAGTTCTTAGACAGAAATGTGTGAGTGAAAGTAACGATAATACCCTCTCGTACATGTTTGACGTTTTGTCATTTATTTACGATTTAATGTTTTTTTTTTTGTATATTTCGAGTAGGGATGGATGTTAGTCGAGTAACCATATCCTTTAATCCCCACGCGGTCACCGGTGACAGCTCTTCATTAATTAACTACATTATAGACCTTAATTCCGATGTTTAGAGATTACTTTTGGTATGAACAAATTTATAGTACGATATTTCAACAGGTATCAATGTTGATTCGTGAGTTATGTCCTAAGTGTGGAAGAACCATGCTTCGGCACGAATGGGCCGACTCGACCGGAGTGATACCCCGGCCTCACAGACAACCGACGTGAAACAACGCTTGCGTTGTATTTCGTCGTGTAAGTAAGATTACTTACACGACGAAACATGGGGGAGATCCCCCACCCTTCCCAAATCCTTGAATCCCCAACAATCTTCACATTCCTAATCTCGAAAAAGCCGGTAAGGCACTTGTAACGCCTTTTTTTTTTTAAGGGGGGAAAATCATCGAATGACTGCCCCCGCCTGGGTGAGGCGGGAGGGAGTGTCAGACTCTTACTGACTAAAAACCACCCCGTTCCTTCTCCTGCACGTCGAGCCGGAGCCCCGGTTACCCGTTAGGTTCTCCGCGACTCCGAATCGGCATCGGCCCTATTGGGCCCCATCTGTGGTGGTCTGATGGCTCTTTGAGGCGCGCGCGGAACGCGACGCGCCGTACGCTCGGGTCTGTTTCTGGTCGGACGGGGAGCCACCCATGCTCGCCGTCCGCAGGCCCGCGCTTACGGTGGCCGGAGATCGTCCCGCGATCCCCGACGCCCGGTGTGTCCTTCGCGATGGCTGGGTTGCGAGGAGGCAGCGCTTCGCTGCCTCACGCGTCCCGCCTCCTCCTTAGCTAGCATGACTGCTTCGCAAAAGGAGGAGACGGCATCCCAATCCCCCTCGCTCCGCATCATGGCCTGCACTAGGCCCGGACGCGAGAGGTCGCCATCGCCGATCACTTCCCTGAGGACACGGCGGTGCTCAGCCCACGAAGGGCATTCTCCCACCGTGTGTTCCACCGTGTCCTCAGGGCGGTCCTCGCAGTGATGACACCCGGGCGTTTCCTCCCGCCCCATCAGACACAGGTACCTCCCGAAACTGCCATGTCCGGTGAGGACCTGCGTCAGGCGGTAGGTGAGGACGCCGTAGCGTCTCTCAAGCCACTCCTCAAAGAGGGGACTTACCGCTGCGATGGCAGCGAGCCCAGCCCTCGGTTGCGACAGTCGTTGCTGCCATTCCGCCATGAGATCGCGCCGGAGCTCATCCCGCCACGCACTTATCTGGCGCGGCAGTGGAGTTTCGCCCCGGCGACGTGCCTCCGCGCGCATGCTGTGCACGCGCGCGAGCACCTTCGCCTCCAGATCCCACGGCGGTAATCCGGCAACTTGTAACGCCTATGGTGTTCCAGATGTACACGTGTCACGTCGATTTGCTGATTGCTCCGGTGATCCATCTGCTCGTTGACCGGTATATCCCATAAAAAAATTGAGCATCTAAAAAATCCAGAAAACTCCAGTCCAACATTTTATTTATTGGCTTATCCAATAATTAAAAAAAAAAAAAAAAAACAAAAAAAATATTTTTATATCATAGTATATAATAGAATATTCTAAGTATGCTCTAAGCCGCAAATTCTATCAGGGCTATAGTTGACTACAAAAAAAAGATACCGGGAGAATTGAGAACGTCCCTCTTTTTGAGAAATCGGTTAAAAGTAACATAGGTAAACATTCTGCCCAATACTAAATAACCAAACAAAAATCACCATTTGCATCAACCTCTTTACAACTAACCCACTTAATTACAACAGAACAGAACCAAACTAAAAGTCTTTTAGCGAAAACGAAAACAAAGTAGGAAGTACCTAACCAAGCTATCAGAGGTCACAAAATAGTTAATTACTTGCATTTCAACATGACTTGGAACAAGCGATGGTGAGCAAGTCACCGCGAAAATTACTTTTTGGCTGACGTCATTATTCTGTTCACGCCCCCCTCCCGCTCCCCTGTCCCCTCTCTTCACTTCCTCGCCCCGCGGCTGTTAGAAACAGTGATCATGGCGTAGATTAGGGTGACAGAAGGTTAGCTGATTTACTGTGTCGTCCCATTTCAAATAACCAATCTGAAGTTAGATGTACTTAGAGATTATTTCCATAAATAGACAGGTTAATAATCAATTCTTCTATTTATTTGTCGTTTTTGTGACTACACATTTGATAGATATCAGACAGCATTGACATAGCGCTCTATGTGATAAACTTGGATCTTAAAAACCACGCTGTAACACGTCACAAAACATGAAAATTACGACTAATTTCTCTTATTTAGAAGGGCCAGAGTCTACCAATGAACTGTCAATGTAAGTGCAGTACAAAACGTACGAAATCAAAGAAAAATCGAAGTTCTTTTACTGCATTTACTTATTCAATGTACTATTTACGGAAAACTGTAATTTATCATTGAAATTAAAAGCCGCATTGTTTGAGTCATAATAAAGGCGAATTTAGAATGATCTATTGAGTCCCCGCTAATTATTATTCATTTATTTCGCTTTGTAGTTACATTCTCTAGACTAACGAAATGAAAATTTCGTTGCCAAAATGTTATTTTGTCAAACTAATTACGACTTTATTTGTAAGATTAATAAACAACTTCTGTTTATGAGACAAAAGATTTGTTATTTTCTTTTTTTTGTGTTCGTTATCTTCTTGATTGGGAAAGTGGTTTTAAACACAGCAGTCGATTGTAAGGTTTAAATGCTTGTGCTTTCTGAAGAGTACCTTTATAACCTGGGTATCTTCAATGCCTGAATGGAATAAGTTTCTTATGGGCAGACGTGCTCCATTGTAGGTATCATCGCTTACCACCAGACGAGATAGTGGTCAAACGTCGGCCTATCACATATAAAAATGCTTTTTGATATGGATTGGAATTTTAATTGATTAGATTGCCTCGTTGGCCGAGTGGTCGCAAGTGCGACTGCTGGGCAAGGGGGTCTCATGTTCGATTCCCAGGTCGGGCAAAGTATTAATTGTTTTTTTTTTAATTCTCAGTAGTAGCACGGAGTCTGGTATTATGCCCGGTATATAGCAATAGGCTCATCCTCTATTAGATGGGACTCATAACATAAATAATGAAAAGTGGGTGTTACATTGTACAGTGGCATTAGGTGCTGTAATGTGCACCTCTGCCTACCCATTTGGGGATGAAAGGCGTGGTATTGTTGTATATGGAATTTTGAGAAAGTGTGGAATTTTGGAAAACGTCAGACACTTATAAGTTGGCATAGGGTTAAATAAATCACCTCTTGATCTCTATTTTCAAAGTAAAGTTTAACAGATCTACATGCATTAACCAGGTTTAATAATACCTCTATAAGATGTGACCCTTTACTATAGGTAGCTATTGGGTAAGTAGTAATGGACTACTGAACTAAACTGCTGCTGACAGCTGAATTCTGTACTAGAGTAGGTACTGAATTCGGAGCTTAGTGACAAATATGTATAAGGGGCTGGATATAAAGCATTAACATTATATTAGCAGTATGTGCCTACTAATAATTCAATAAAAGTGCTCAGTACTATGGAATTTAACCCGACACTAGGTTAAGGTATCAACTGGTGAATAGTGGGTTGTATTTAATCTATGATGCTGACGCCTTTGTGGAATAAAATTGATGTTAGTATAATCATGTTATTGTAAGTAATAAACTAATTATAAATGTACAGTTGTCACATGTTCATTCACGTGCGTAAACCTCAGGCAATTCTGAATTTACGGTCGGTATTTCGTCATAATAGTAAAATAGCAATATAAATATTGGCCAATTTCAATATTATCCGACTACAGGGTATTATAAATAGAATTGTAAATAATAAATAAGTTAACATAAATACGTATATTCGATAGCATGCGTTGTATTACAGGGAGTATTTTTATTGTAACTCTTGTTCTGCACGTCAGTGGCCGCGATCCTGCATTAAGGATTATAGGCGGCAGTGATACTGGTAAGGAAGATCTGCCGTATATCGCAAGACTACGACATGTTGTCCATTTGGATGTAGAAAATCAGATTACCGAAGAAGATGAAAATCTTTGCACTTGCGCTATTTTAACACCACATTGGACATTGACAGCCGCGCATTGTCTAGTTGACTTTGAGGAAGATCTTCTAGATGTGCACGACTATATAAAAGCAAGAAAACCTTACATGATATCAGCCAGACACATGGTAAGTTATGGTCGTCTTGAGAATAATACAAAAAATGTTCTACGATACTTCCGGCATCCTGCATATGCACGAAGTAAATTTAAGTTGTCCAATGATATAGCTCTGGCAAACACTCAACCGATTGACTTGGAATCGTACGGATGGTTGAGAGCAGTTGATTACAAGGCTGTAGTAGGACATGAAGCTATCGTGGCTGGTTACGGTTCAGGACATATACCGGGACCAGTTGGCAGCAAAATGAATAGTTGTAGTCCAGCAATACCTTTGAAGAAGTTAAAAGTAGTTGTCGTAAAGTGTGGTGAGAATCGTCACATAAATCCATCGATGTGCATCGCTAGACGCTGCGGGCAATCATCTTATTTGTGTGTTGGAGACTCCGGCGGACCGCTGATCCATCCATCAGGTATTATCGGCATCAACTCCATGGGTCCAAAAGATTTGCAAGACTTCTGCAAATTAAAATCAAGTTCGCCTGTTTTTGATGTTGGAGTTATGACACCAGTGAGTCCGTACATTGATTGGATCAGCAGAACAATTGAAACTCCACAGGGACCTGCAACCGAGATATCATCCGAGACCTCGGATCAATCCCGAGAAAGGAAAAAAAACTTGAAGTTTTTTGGCATGTCGACCTCTGAGAGCAAAGAAGATCCTTTGCCTGCCAAGCAAGATTACGATTTTAGGTTCAAGGAAGAATCCTCTGACTTAGAATGGTGATCTGCCTGGCGAGCTAGAACCTACGGCTAGTTTTAAGTTGGAATTTTTCATCCATATTTATTAAGCGCGCGCAAACTTCACGATGTGCAACTACTCGATAAATTTTGATTAAGCTATATTATCTACATTTGCCAACTAGCCGTCCAAGCTAGTTTATTTGTTACGTACCTGTATTCAGCTTACAAGACGAGATGACCAGCTCTTGGCATGTACTACATCAGTGTGCGGGTGTTATCAGGATACAGTCAGCGTTGCACACTGATACAACCCACGTCAAGAGCTGGTCACACTCAGCCTAGTCTTGCGTTGAAGTGATTCTCTCTGCTACTGGTGTAAAACACATTTAAGTTGTTACTGTTTCTTATCGATGAAATTACATAACAATAAAGAATTTTATCTAAATGTTTTATTGCTTTTTTGTCGATCTCCATTTACAGTTTTTAAATTAATATCCTAACCTTGGCTCGTTTGTTAAAGTGCCAACTTTTGATGCATGATTGTGCGGTTTATGTAGTCTGTGGTGGGTACTACAAACATTCGGTGAAAGAAGAAAATGTCAAGAAACCTCTAAGTATATTTTTAAGATTACTATGAAGGATAGCAGATGGGCCAGAAAAGTCCTTGAGTGGATACCGCATACCGAAAAACGAAGCGTGGGCTAGCCTCCTGCTAGGTGGACCGACGACATCGCCAGAGTGTGTATTATTGTTTTCTATAAAATTTGTATAATATTTTGTCAACATACTAGTGCTGAACATCAGCGCCGCAACTCGAGCAATCGCGCGCGTGACACGGCATTTTAGCTGAGCACTGGCCTTTTTGCACCGTGTATATAATTTTCTTGTTTTTCTATAATGGTGCAAATAAACTGTTTTTCTTTGTTTCTTCTTTTTAGTTGTGGGGAGCCAGTGGATGCAGGTGACAAGTTGACATTCGACCTGGAGGACTAAGGGGGAGGCCTTTGTCCAGCAGTGGACGTCTTACGGCTGTTGATGATGATGAAGATGATTGTTCTTTATAATTTTCCATTTTGCACTTAAGTTTTTAAAGAATCCATTTATTATGAATTTACTTTAATTTATTTATGTTTTTTTATGGAATAGGAGGCAAACGAGCAGACGGACTACCTGATGGTAAGCGATAAGCGCCGCCCATGGACACCCGCAACACCAAAGGAGTCAGAGGTGCGTTGCCGGTCTTTTAAAAAGGAATACGCTCTTTTCTTGAAGGTTTGAAGGTCGTATCGGTTCGGAAATACAATAATAACTCTATAATAATGAATGAACATTAATGAAAACATTGGAATCACAACAAGCCAAAAGTAATACAGTTTAGAATAAACAAATAACGGTACAAATACAAGTACATCTCAGTTGGTCGTAAGTTTTAACACTTCGAAGGGAATCAGGTCAAGTAGTACTTAATAATTTATTCCTCGGCCTTAGCTTGCACAGGGTTGAAGATTTCATTACAATGGATATTGTTTAGCTCTGAATGCAAGCATTTCGTTTTTTGTCAAATTATTGAGTGAAATAATTTACATAACACATAATATATATACATAAATATATACATAACATAACATAACATCACGCCTTTTATCCCCGGGTAGGTAGAGGTGCACATTATATATACCACTGTACAATGTAACACCCACTTTTCACTATTTATATTAAACTGTCAAACACCAAGCGGTCACCGGTGACCGCAACTTATTGTCCTATAATTGTGTCTACAAAACCGGTACTCGACGAGTTAAAGTCCCATGTAATAAGGGGTGAACCTATTGCCATATACCGGACACAATTCCGAACTCCGTGCTACTACTGAGAATATTTAAAAACCCAGTAATACTTTGCCCATCCCGGGAATCGAATCCGAGACCCCTTGCCTGGCAGCCGCACTTACGATTAGTCGGCCAACGAGGCAGTCTCTGAAATAATTTACAAGGGAAATAAATTCAAATGTTCAACAGATCTCTAAAGAAAAAGAGTATGTTATTAGTTTTTTCTGTGTGTACAATAAGTGGGATGTATTTCTCCGCGATTATTTAGCGGTTGGCTGAACCGATTTTCATGTCTGTGTTACACTTTAGGTCCTCCCTCACCGGCACTGACGTGTAATCTAACATTATAGATTCGACTTTGAGCATTACATTACAATAATACCTCCCTGACCAACGAGCATTTGCGTGGAATGTAACATATAGATTCGACTTTGAGCATTTCGTAGTAAGATGTCAGACATTGATGTTACAAGTTGTATCAAGATATTACACATTGTATCGTTACAAGGTGCGCATTGTAATGCTCGGTTCTCCTCCTTCACTGATGTAATGCTCAGATCTGTAACGTTACATTACCTCTACACGCGAATGCTCCCGGTGAGGGAGCACCTTTAAAAGACGTTTTGGGTAGGTATTCAAAATCATAGTAGGTATTTATACTTCGACTTCAAAAATAGGAGATTAAAGTCAGTTTTGAAATGTGGATTGTGTTTTTTTTTAGTTCCTATCGGTTATTGTAGATCAACAAATTATTGACTTACCAAATTGATTATCTGAGTGGTCGAGTGTTAACAAGCGCGACTGTTGGTCAAGAAGTTTACGGTTTCAAATCCCTCGTTATTCTCCGTAACTACAAGACTGATTTGAATAATTATTTTTGTATTGGATAGCGCATTTATCGAGGATGGCTATAGGCTATAAAACATCACGCTAAGACCAATAGGAGCTGAGCAGAGCGTGTGAAACCGCGCGGAAGTAGCTAGTTTCTTAATAATAGTAATGAGTCTAGAATTGTACCAGATATACGGCACTTCTGACATCAGACTATGTTACTGATGACAATAACATATCTGTCTAACCCTTCGAAGATTAAAAGACGTGATGTTTTATATTTATGTCAATTCATATCTTTAAAAATCTCGACCCTAATCACCACACAAATCATAATCATTTTAGTCCATTCGCAATCAAAAAGGAACTCAGTCCTCTATGTAATAAAGTTACTTCTTGTAAATCAGCGTAGCTTTGAAGGCCAGGCCTCAGTATATCGCTGAGTGCTCAAATGATCATTCCAAACGACCCTTTCGTCTCATTAGGTTTCACCGCGGTTCATTCAGGCAGCGATGACGGTTGCCAGATGATGCTAGTGGTTCTCAAAGTTACAAGTGCAGAAAATAGATATTTTCTATGAAAAAAAAAATAATTAAAAATGGAAAATACAGCACTGTTAATGAAAGAAAGAAAGAAGAAAGAAAGAAAAACCATTTATTTTGCTACGACACACAACCAAAAAAGCCTATGGTGCGTCGCAGCGCAAAAGGCTGGAGCTCAGCTTAATACCGTGGACCGGGCACAGAGGCTCGAGCCCACGGCGCTGATTTTCAGTACCAGCCTGTTACAGTAAAGTTAATGTAAACTTAAGTGCTATGTTGGTCGAGTAGCCGGTAATACGAATGCCACACTTGTGACTCAGGTTTGTGTCCCGCAACGGGCAAAGGAAAACAACTTCATATTTAACTCGTCGAGTACCGTCATTATAGACACAATTATAGAACAATAGGTTGCGGTCACCGGTGACCGCTTGGTGTTTGACAGTTTAACCAGTTGTATGGCCAAAAAAATCATTCCGGCTCGACGTGCAGGAGAAGGAACGGGGTGGTTTTTAGTCAGTAAGAGTCTGACACTCCCTCCCGCCTCACCCAGGCGGGAGTAGTCATTCGATGATATTTCCCCTTAAGAAAAAAACTTGGTAGCTTATTAAAATTTAGGTTGTATGCACTGCCTAAACAATCAAATAACTTTATATAAGTTAATCCTGATTACAGTCAAGTCAAAGTGTACCATAATTCTATTAGAGGCACATACGATTATGAATTAAGCCAGGTGCTCCTCTGCATACATAAATGTCTGCACGTCTCTTAGCTACCACGAAAACAGACAAGGCCACGACCTTTGCGCATTTATTCAGTTACCAAGAAATTACTAGTTACTCTTCCTATTTTCACTTTTCATCTCCATCCTCTGACTCTTGAACGAGCGACATCGCCTGTGTCTTAAGGTCCTCCTGAGAACAGAGTGATTACGTTTTTAATGAAAATAGTGGTTTCAAAACAATTATAAGTAGTTATGATTTAGCATCGCGGTCACCCGGAGATTAAGACGCTCGCTTCAAATGCACGAGATACGAAACCTATCAACAGAAGTACCAATTGTGACTTATCCGAATTATACTATATGTACTTCCTAAGATTTTAGACACCACTGACAAACGGTGAAGGAAAACATCGTGAGGAAAACTGGGCTTATGATTTCTAATTATAAGTTTGAAATCGCCAACCCGCATTGAGCAAGCGTGGTGATTAATGCTCAAACCTTGTCTGTGTGAAAAGAGGATTTCGGTCAGCAGTGGCCACTTATAGGCTGTTGATGATGATTATTTAATACATATACTCAAAACTTGTGTGTGTTAGAAAGAGATAGTCTGTCTGTGTATAATATTAATACAATACTAACTACACAAACGACTTCGACCTAAATAAAAACCAAACAAAATTAAATATCAACAAAAATTACTTAAATTTTATTTGACTAGTAAACTAACGGAACCAATTTCCCGACCAACTGAAAACTTGCATCGTTCTCAAAAACATTTTCCTAGTTATTTTCTTCGCTGACTTCTAAATTAGTTGTCGGGTTAACGTAAAACTTTGACAGCCAGTGACGTTGAATGAACACGTCACAACATTCATGTCTGGTCTCTGGTCGTACTTCAACTGATTCATGTTCTACTTGTAATTTGTATCGGTGTCTTATATACCTACTGTATGTTTTTAAGTATATAGAGGTATGTTTAAATAAGTAAAGGTTGTCTTAGCAATATGTACTATATTGTTAGTGGGCGTTTCTAGGATAAGGTAGGTGTAGGTTTCAGTATAATTATGTATGCATAGTGTATACGGGTATTCGTAAAATTCTACAATAGTAACCTCTAGTGACATTTGTCATATTACGTAGGTAATAAGCAGAGCGTGGGTACTTCTGTTGAGTCAGTCACTTACCGACTGGCATGCAGAACGGTAGTGTGCACACCAGTCAAACATTAATATCGATAAACATAACATAACATCACGCCTTTTTATCCCCGAAGGGGTAGGCAGAGGTGCATATTTCGGCATTTAATGCCACTGCACAATGTAACACCCACTTTTCACTATCTATGATATGAGTCCCATGTAATAGGGGGTTAGCCTATTGCCATATACCGGGCACATTTTCAGATTCCGAGCTGCTAATGATAATTTTAAAAACC